GTGTGGCCTGGGCGAAATACGTCAGGCTGTGTGTGGCCTGGGAGGAGCCGAGGCTGAGGTCATTCTCGGTCTTCATCTAATGCATGGGCTGTGGGCTGGGCAAAATGTGTCAGAGGGTGTAGCCTGGGTGAAATGCATCAGAGAGTGTGGCCAGGGTGAAATGCATCAGAGGGTGTGCCTGGGCAAAATGCATCAGAGGGTGTGGCCTGGGCAAAATGCGTCAGTGCTGTGTGTGGCCTGGGAGGAGCCGAGGCTGAGGTCATTCTCGGTCTTCATCTAATGCATGGGCTGTGGGCTGGGCAAAATGTGTCAGAGGGTGTGGCCTGGGTGAAATGCCTCAGTGGGTGTGGCCAGGGTGAAATGCATCAGTGGGTGTGGCCTGGGTGAAATGCGTCAGTGGGTGTGGCCTGGGCAAAATGCGTCAGTGCTGTGTGTGGCCTGGGAGGAGCCGAGGCTGAGGTCATTCTCGGTCTTCATGTAATGCATGGGCTGTGGGCTGGGCAAAATGTGTCAGAGGGTGTGGCCTGGGTGAAATGCATCAGTGGGTGTGGCCAGGGTGAAATGCATCAGTGGGTGTGGCCTGGGTGAAATGCGTCAGTGGGTGTGGCCTGGGCAAAATGCGTCAGAGGTGTGTGTGGACTGGGAGGAGCCCAGGCTGAGGTCATTCTCGGTCTTCATCTAATGCATGGGCTGACAGGAGTGTGGCGTCTTTCTGTTGCAGCATTACTTATTGGGCTTGGACGAACTCACACGGATTTCAGTCGATCGGCATTGCCATTGGCGCGTGGAGCGATGCTCTAAGCTACTTTATGGGGACGTAGTGAGTAATAATGCCCCCCATACCTGACCCATTCAAGTGAATGAGGCAGCTCTGCAACCGCTCGGCAACTGAGCTCAATGCACGCATTGGTGCCCACATGGAAGAAAATATATTTGAAATATATTTTTAAAATATTCTTCCCAAATATATTGACATATATTTGAAATGCTACAATTTTGGCCGTATTCAATATATTTAAAGAAAAAAAAAAATATATATATACAGTATATATAAGGGTAAAAATGCAAACACGGAGAAACGCAGGAAAAACACGGCAAAACGCTAATGCAAAAAACCTAAAAAGAGCTGAAAAACTTGAGTTACACATCTAACATTTACAGCATTATCAAAACGTGCTTACCTCCGGTTCACACATTCGCGTTTCTGCGCTCCTCGTTTTGCGTGGGCACGTGAGCCCATTCATTTGAATGGACTCCCGTGCCACGGGACACACAGAGAAGAAGTCCCTGCTGAACTTGTGAAATCGCAGTCCGCACGGGAACCTCAGTTCCCAGTGCAGTTGCGATTTCCAGTTCGGGCGGCGTGCCATTAGAATTAATGACACCCACCCACGGGTCCGCATTCCTCTGTGTGGGTGGGATTTTTGTGCGGATCCACAGTGGCACCACCCGCACAGATGTGAAACTAGCCTTAACCATTTGACACCCGGCCAATAGCCGTATGGAGTCCGAAAAAATGTACTACCTTTCCGGGAGGCCGCCATATGGCATCCTCCCGCACATGTGCAGTTTGCCCGCTTGCAGAGCCACGCAGCGGCGCGATCTGTCACCGGCCGTGTACATCGGACACGGCCGATGACAGATCTGAGTACCGGCCCCCGTTGTCGGTACCATGTGACCTGCTGTGACCAATCACAGCAGGTCACATGACAGTTGTATACAATGGATGGCTTCATTCATGCCATCCATTGTATACTAGTGTCTAGCTGTGAATGGTCACAGCTAATCACATGCAAATGTCATGTGATTAGCTGTGGCCAAATCACAGCTAAACACAAAAAAAAAAAAAAAAAAAACCTGAATGAATCGATGTCATTCAGGTAAATGCTTGCTTATAGCAAAGTAATTCTTTGCAATTAGCAAATTGTATAAAAAAAAAAATACTGATCATTTCCCCAAAGTAGTACAATGTTACTATGGTAACATTGTACTACTTTGGACATAGTGAAATATGAAAAAAAAATCTTAAAAAAAAGAAAAAAAAATGTAATAAAAAATTTTAAATAATAAAAAAGAAACAAAAATTAAAAAAAATATATATTTTTTTTTCACACTGTCACCAGTCAGTGTCCCTGATCACCGCCATGACAGTTATATGATGACGCTGTACTGCACTGGTGACAGTATGTAAAAAGAAAAATAGTTAAAATATTTTTTTTTTATTTTTTCATTTTCCGAAAAATTATAACAAAAAAAAATACAACTTCAAAAAACTCTCCATGCCTCTTATGAAGTACTTCGGACTGTCTACTCTGCAAAAAGGGGTCATTTGGGGATATCTGTACTGTTCTGACATTTGGGGGGATATCTGTAGTGTCCTGACATTTGCGGGATATCTGTACTGTCCTGACATTTGGGGGATATCTGTACTGTCCTGACATTTGGGGGATATCTGTACTGTCCTGACATTTGGGGGATATCTGTACTGTCCTGACATTTGGGGGATATCTGTACTGTCCTGACATTTGGGGGATATCTGTACTGTCCTGACATTTGGGGAATATCTGTACTGTCCTGACATTTGGGGGATATCTGTACTGTCCTGACATTTGGGGGATATCTGTACTGTTCTGACATTTGGGGGATATCTGTACTGTCCTGACATTTGGGGGATATCTGTACTGTTCTGACATTTGGAGGATATCTGTACTGTTCTGACATTTGGAGGATATCTGTACTGTCCTGACATTTGGGGAATATCTGTACTGTCCTGACATTTGGGGGATATCTGTACTGTTCTGACATTTGGGGGGATATCTGTACTGTCCTGACATTTGGGGGATATCTGTACTGTTCTGACATTTGGGGGGATATCTGTACTGTCCTGACATTTGGGGGATATCTGTACTTCTGACATTTGGAAGATATCTGTACTGTTCTGACATTTGGAGGATATCTGTACTGTTCTGACATTTGGGGGATATCTGTACTGTCCTGACATTTGGGGAATATCTGTACTGTCCTGACATTTGGGGGATATCTGTACTGTCCTGACATTTGGGGGATTTCTGTACTGTCCTGACATTTGGGGGATATCTGTACTGTTCTGACATTTGGGGGATACAAAGAAAAACGTGTTTTTTTTTCAAAATTTGGGGTCTTTTTTTGTTAATTTAGCAAAAAATAAAGACCCCGGCAGTGATTAAATTACACCAAAAGAAAGCTCTAGTTGTGTGAAGAAAATGATAAAATTTTAGTTTGGGTAGAATGTTGTATGACCGCGCAATTGTCATTCAAAGTGTGAGAGCGCTGAAACCTGAAAACTGGCCTGGGCAGGAAGGGGGTAAAATTGCCCGGTATTGAATTGGTTAATGGACATTTTGAATATACAAGTTCGAGTCCCATAGACTTGCATTAAGTTCCAAGTTCACGGTTGAAATTTCGTTTGGTGCGAACGTCGGACCACGAAACCGAACAGAGGAGTGTTCAGCCCACCGCTAGAAATAACTTGGGTTTGGTGCACCCAGAGTGGATTGATATCCTTTGTGGCAATGAAGGAATATTTGAATGAAGGCTTCCAGAGCGTTCATTAGGATTTCATGAATTCACGTCTTGCTTATGTTCAGGTGGTCCCATCAATCAAAGGACCCCCCCCCCCCCCCCCGATATAATAAATGTCGCTAAACGATGTCACAGATAAGAATCAGGGGCGGACTGACAACTCATGGGGCCCCCGGGCAATAGGGGATCATGGGGCCCCTGTGTCCTTGCCCAAACTCAATCCTTCATATTTGGACAGCAGTGGCGTCATCCTTCATATCTGGAGAGCAGTGATGTCATCCTTCATGTTTGGAGAGCAGTGATGTCATCCTTCATATCTGGGGATTAGCAATGTCATCCCTCATAGTACTAGAGAAGTAATGCCTCAAACTAGTGGAGAAGCTGTATGTGATGCCCAGGCGGACTGACAACTCATGGGGCCCCCGGGCAATAGGGGATCATGGGGCCCCTGTGTCCTTGCCCAAACTCAAAAAAGCCTATGAAAAAGGTACCAGGGGCATCTCATGGGGCCCCCTACTGACCCCGGGCCCTCGGGCAGTGCCCGAGTTTCCAAATGGTCAGTTCGCCCCTGATAAGAACATGGACTGTGTATAGCGGTTCATTTTTTTGGGGGGGAGGTCAGGGGCGGACTGACCATTGGGTAACTCGGGCACTGCCCGAGGGCCCGGGCTCAGTAGGGGGCCCCATGAGATGGCCCTGGTACCTTTTTCATAGGCTTTTTTGAGTTTGGGCAAAGGACACAGGGGCCCCATGATCCCCTATTGCCGGGGGGCCCCATGAGTTGTCAGTCCGCCCCTGGGGGAGGTAAATGTCTGGCCTTATAGATCCTCCAGATGTTCAACAAGCAATGAGAATCTCAAAACATTTTTTTTTTTTTGGGGGGGGGGAGGTAAATGTCTCACCTTATAGATCCTCTGGACGTTCAGCAAGCAATGAGAATCTCAAAACATTTTATTCCCCCCCCCCCCCCCAAAAAAAAAATACTGTTTTGAGATTCTCATTGGTAGCTGAACGTCCGGAGGATCTATAAGGCCAGACATTTACCTCCCCCCCCCAAAAAAAAATGTTTTGAGATTCTCATTGCTTGCCGACTGTCTGGAGGATCTATAAGGCGAGACATTTACATCAATGCGTCGAAAAGAAGAAAAAAAAAACTGAACACGGATGTTTCCCCGCGATGTGTCAATATCGTTTATTTTTAACTTCCCAGAATTTCCATTTGCAATCTCCTCAGACCCGACGCGCATCCAATTTAGACCCGAGAAAAATCTGGATTTTATTTCCATGTCACATGTCAAGGGAAAAAAAAATCATCACGAAGACTCAGCCCGACTCTTCAGGAATAATTATGACGGAACTTCGACCGTGTTATCATTAGTAATCATGGAGTTGGATGAACCGCTATACACAGTCCGTGTTCTTGTCAGGGGGGACTGACCATTTGGGAACTCAGGCACTGCCCGAGGGCCCGGGGTCAGTAGGGGGCCCCATGAGATGCCCCTGGTACCTTTTTCATAGGATTTTTTGAGTTTGGGCAAGGACACAGGGCCCCATGATTACCTATTGCCCGGGGGCCCCATGAGTTGTCAGTCCACCCCTGGGCATCACATACAGCTTCTCCACTAATTTGAGGCATTACTTCTCTAGTAATATGAGGGATGACGCCACTGCTATCCAGATATGAAGGATGACGCCACTGCTATCCAGATATGAAGGATGACACCACTGCTCTCCAAATCAGAGGGATGACACCACTACTCTCCAAATATGAAGGATGACGCCACTGCTCTCCAAATATGAAGAATGACGCCACTGCTCTCCAGATATGAAGGATGACACCACTGCTCTCCAGATATGAAGGATGACACCACTGCTCTCCAAATCAGAGGGATGACTTTACCTCTTCACTAATAGGAAGGATGACATCACTGCTCTCCAAATATGAAGGATGACGCCACTGCTCTCCAAATATGAAGAATGATGCCACTGCTCTCCAGATATGAAGGATGACACCACTGCTCTCCAGATATGAAGGATGACACTACTGCTCTCCAGATATGAAGAATGACACCGCTGCTCTCCAAATATGAAGGATGATGCCACTGCTCTCCAGATATGAAGGATGACACCACTTCTCTCCAAATATGAAGGATGACGCCACTGCTCTCCAGATATGAAGGATGACGCCACTGCTCTCCAGATATGAAGGATGACACCACTGCTCTCCAGATATGAAGGATGACACCACTGCTCTCCAGATATGAAGGATGCCACCACTGCTCTCCAGATATGAAGGATGACGCCACTGCTCTCCAGATATGAAGGATGACGCCACTGCTCTCCAAATCAGAGGGATGACTTTACCTCTTCACTAATAGGAAGGATGACATCACTGCTCTCCAAATATGAAGGATGACGCCGCTGCTCTCCAAATATGAAGAATGACGCCACTGCTCTCCAGATATGAAGGATGACACCACTGCTCTCCAGATATGAAGGATGACACTACTGCTCTCCAGATATGAAGAATGACACCGCTGCTCTCCAAATATGAAGGATGATGCCACTGCTCTCCAGATATGAAGGATGACACCACTTCTCTCCAAATATGAAGGATGACGCCACTGCTCTCCAGATATGAAGGATGACGCCACTGCTCTCCAGATATGAAGGATGACACCACTGCTCTCCAGATATGAAGGATCACACCATTGCTCTCCAGATATGAAGGATGCCACCACTGCTCTCCAGATATGAAGGATGACGCCACTGCTCTCCAGATATGAAGGATGACACCACTTCTCTCCAAATCAGAGGGATGACTTTACCTCTTCACTAATAGGAAGGATGACATCACTGCTCTCCAAATATGAAGGATGACGCCGCTGCTCTCCAAATATGAAGGATGACGCGCTGCTCTCCAAATATGAAGGATGACGCCGCTGCTCTCCAAATATGAAGGATGACGCCGCTGCTCTCCAAATATGAAGGATGACGCCACTGCTCTCCAAATATGAAGGATGACGCCACTGCTCTCCAAATATGAAGGATGACGCCGCTGCTCTCCAAATATGAAGGATGACCCCGCTGCTCTCCAAATATGAAGGATGACGCCACTGCTCTCCAAATATGAAGGATGACGCCACTGCTCTCCAAATATGAAGGATGACCCCGCTGCTCTCCAAATATGAAGGATGACGCCACTGCTCTCCAAATCAGAGGGATGACTTTACTTCTTCACTAATAGGAAGGATGACATCACTGCTCCCCAAATACAAGGCATGACATCACTTCTCTACTAATATGAGGGATGACATCAGTTGAGAGTCCAAACTCACATATCTGGCCAGTGCAGCTCCACTTTGCCAAACCCAGCCACTGTCCACTTCTCATAGAAACATTGTGACCAGGGGCGGACTGACCATTTAGGCACTGCCCGAGGGCCTGGGGTCAGTGGGGGCCCCATGAGATGCTCCTGGTACCATTCATAGGCTTTTTTGGTGTAGTTTGAGTGTGGGCGAGGACACAGGGGCCCCATGATTTCCTATTGCCCGGGGGCCCTATGGGTTGTCAATCTGCCCCTGATTGTGAGCTTTCAGACACGAGGCAGGGGCAGAGCAAGAGTGAGTCTGATTGACAGCGCAGCCGCAGCTAAGGTCAGACCATTCTTCCAGAAGCACATTTGTCAGGTCAGGCACTGATGTCGGGGGAGGAGGCCTGGCTCACAGTCTCCGCTCTAATTCATCCCAAAGGTGTTCTATGGGGTTGAGGTCAGGACTCTGTGCAGGACAGTCAAGTTCCTCACCCCAAACTGGCTCCTCCATGTCTTTATGGACCTTGCTTTGTGCACTGGTGCGCAGTCATGTTGGAACAGGAAGAGGCCATCCCCAAACTCTTCCCACAAAGTTGGGAAATTATCCAAAATGTCTTGGTATGCTGACACCTTAAGAGTTCCCTTCACTGGAACTAGGGGGCCAAGTCTAACCCCTGAAAAACAACCCCACACCATAATCCCCCCTCCAGCAAACTTTACACTTGGCACAATGCAGTCAGGCAAGTACCATTCTCCTGGCAACTGCCAAACCCAGACAAGTCCATCGGATTGCCAGACAGAGAAGCGTGATTGATCACTCCAGAGAACACTTCTCCTCTGCTCTAGAGTCCAGTGGCAGCGTGCTTTACACCACGGCATCCGACGCTTTGCATTGCACTTGGTGATGGAAGGCTTCGATGCAGCTGCTCGACCAAGGAAACCCATTCCATGAAGCTCTCTACACACTGTTGTTGGGCTCATCTGAAGGCCACACCAAGTTTTGAGGTCTTTATCTATTGACTCTGCAGACAGTTGGCGACTTCTGCGCACTGTGCGCTTCAGCATGCGCTGACCCCGCCCTGTCATGTGACGTGGCCTACCACTTGGTGGCTGAGTTGCTGTTGTTCCCCAGTTGCTTCCACTTTGTTATAATCCCACTAACAGTTGAGCGTGGAATATTTAGTAGCCAGGAAATGTCACGGATGGACTTATTGCCCAGGTGGCCACCTATCACGGGACCACGCTTGGAGTCACTGAGCTCCTGAGAGCGACCCATTCTTTCACCAATGTTTGTAGAAGCAGTCTGCATGCCTAGGGGCTTGATTGTATACACCTGTGTCCATGGAGGGGATTGGAACACCTGAATCACATGATTGGGGGAGGACGGGGCCAATACTTTTGGCAATATAGTATATATATATAAATATATACACTATACTATTGTATGTAATTTATTATTATTGCTAGTATACAATGTGGAGATATATATATATATATATTATATATATATATATATATATATGAAGCTCTCTTCATAGTATAGTGTGTGTGTGTATACAGTGGGGCAAAAAAAGTATTTTAGTCACCACCAATTGTACAAGTTCTCCCACTTACAAAGATGAGAGAGGCCTGTAATTGGCATCATAGGGAGACCTCAACTATGAGAGACAAAATGAGAAAACAAATCCGGACAATCACATTGGCTGATTTGGAAAGAATTTATTTGCAAAATTATGGTGGAAAATAAGTATTTGGTGAATATGAAAAGTTCATCTCAATACTTTGTTATATATCCTTTGTTGGCAATGACAGAGGTCAGACGTTTCCTGTAAGTCTTCACAAGGTTGGCACACACTGTTGCTGGTATGTTGGCCCATCCTCCATGCAGATCTCCTCTAGAGCAGTGATGTTTTGGGGCTGTCGCTGGGCAACACAGACTCCCTCCAAAGGTTTTCTAGGGGGTTGAGACCTGGAGACTGGCTAGTCCCACTCCAGGACCTTGAAATGCTTCTTACGAAGCCACTCCTTCGTTGCCCGGGTGGTATGTGTTTGGGATCATTGTCATGTTGGAAGACCAGCCACCTTTCATCTTCTTCAATTGCCCTATGCTGATGGAAGGAGGTTTTGCACGCAAATCTCACGATACATGGCCCATTCATTCTGTCCCTGTACATGGATCAGTCGTCCCTGGTCCCTTTGCGGAGAAACAGCCCCAAAGCATGATGTTGCCACCCCCATGCTTTCACAGTAAGGGTATGGTGTTCTTTGGATGCAACTCAGCATTCTCTCTCCTCCAAACACGACGAGTTGTGTTTTCTACCAAACAGTTCTATTTTGGTTTCATCTGACCATATGACATTCTCCCAATCCTCTTCTGGATCATCCAAATGCTCTCTAGCAAACTTCAGACGGCCCGGACATGTACTGGCTTAAGCAGGGGGACACGTCTGGCACTGCAGGATCTGAGTCCCTGGCGGCGTAGTGTGTTACTGATGGTAGCCTTTGTTATGTTGGTCCCAGCTCTCTGCAGGTCATTCACTAGGTCCCCCCCGTGTGGTCCTGGGATTTTTGCTCACCGTTCTTGTGATCATTTTGACCCCATGGGGTTGAGATCTTGCGTGGAGCCCAGACCGAGGGAGATTATCAGTGGTCTGGTATGTCTTCCATTTTCTAATTATTGCTGCCACAGTTGATTTGTTCACAACAAGCTGCTTGCCTATTGCAGATTCCGTCTTCCCAGCCTGGTGCAGGTCTACAATTTTGTTTCTGGTGTCCTTCGACAGCTCTTTGGTCTTCACCATAGTGGAGTTTGGAGTGTGACTGTTTGAGGTTGTGGACAGGTGTCTTTTATACTGATAACAAGTTCAAACAGGTGCCATTGATACAGGTAATGAGTGCAGGACAGAGGAGCCTCTTAAAGAAGAAGGTACAGGTCTGTGAGAGCCAGAAATCTTGCTTGTTTGTAGGTGACCAAATACTTCTCTTTTCCACCATAATTTGCAAATAAATTCTTTCCAGATCAGCCAAAGTGATTGTCTGGATTTGTTTTCTCATTTTGTCTCTCATAGTTGAGGTCTCCCTATGATGCCAATTACAGGCCTCTCTCATCTTTGTAAGTGGGAGAACTTGCACAATTGGTGGCTGATTAAATACTTTTTTGCCCCCCTGTATAATATACTGCATATGTGTATATCTAGTATTAATACTCTGTTGTTATGTAAAGTATCACTTTAAGAGTCTCATGGCCTTGAAAAACGGCATTAAACCCAAACACAAAAATGTCACATATTGCAGATTACCAATCATTAGATGTGGTGGCTGCATTAGTTTTCTTTTTTCAGGCTTTTCCCCCTCTGTTTTCACCTGGTGATCTGTCCAGTAACACACCTCCTGTATTAGAACGCCCCCACTCTGGATGAAGGAGCACAAGGGGGGCACCTTCCCACAGCAGAATTTTCAGTCTGGGGGAAGGGAAGTGCTAGATCGATTAGCAGTTGTTTTATTCATGTAACCTTTAGCCCAAGAGAAAAAAAAACCGTTTGCTGTAACTGCTTACAAAGTGTAAGCTTTTGGCTGCAGTGTGTTAGTGTATCTAAATCTGCTAGTCCATCTAACACTCCCCTCCCCCCAGACAGACAATGCTTCTGTGCAAGGATGCCCCCTGTGCTCCTTCATCCAGAGTGGGGGATGCTCCAAAACAGGTGCGTTACTGGACAAATTACCAAGGTGAAAAAGGCAAAAAAAAAAGGAAAACAAATGCAGCCACCACACCTAAAGATTGGTAAGCTGCAATATAGTCCGAGCACACCCAGCCTCAGAAGACTTCTGATAATGAGCCAGTGCTCAATACTGCAGAAGACCTCATAACAAATGACATAGCTACTGAGGTGTACACCACAGAAAGCAGTACAAGACATGAAGTGGATGACCAAGGTGACCCCTTCTCATATAAAGACCAGAGCACTCCAAAGGAGCACCCTACAGGAGAAGACCTTGTGCAGGACCATGCAGAAGATCTACACCACCTTAGTGCCTCACAGAAAGAGGAGGTGCACATCAGACAAGATCAGGGGTGGACTGACAACTCATGGGGCCCCCGGGCAATAGGGGATCATGGGGCCCCTGCTTCCTTGCCCAAACTCAAAAAAGCCTATGAAAAAGGTACCAGGAGCATCTCATGGGCCCCCTACTGACCCAGGGCCCTCGGGCAATGCCCGAGTTTCCAAATGGTCAGTCCGCCCCTGGACAAGTTCCCCTGGAAGAGTCCACACCTGAAGTCCACCACTCCACAGGTTTAGGGGAACAGGTCAGTGAAGATCTGGGCTCTTCAGGTGATGAGTTGATGGGTGCTGGAGAGGACCTTCACCTCTCTGTTAATGCACAGGTCACTGTGGAGGATTTGAAACCTTCAACCACAGAGGGAAAGTTGGTGCCAACCAGTAAAGAAGAGAACGACTTCATTGCAACATCGCCAAAATCCGCACGTTCCTAACCCCAGAAACCACTAAACAGCTCATCCACTCCCTCATCATATCACGACTCGACTACTGCAACTCCCTCCTCACTGGCCTGCCTCGCCGCTGGCTATCCCCGCTTCAGTCCATCCGGAATACGGTTGCCAGACTCATTCACCTTTCCAACCGCTCCATCTCCGCCTCCCCCCTCTGCCAATCCCTCCACTGGCTTCCGATTGCGCAATGGATCAAATTCAAAATCCTAACACCGACGTACAAAGCCGTCCACCATACTGCCCTGAACTACATCACTGACCTAATATCCAAGTACCGCCCAGCACACACACTCCGCTCCTCACAAGACCTCCTTCTCTCTAGTTCCCTGGTCTCCTCTCCTCCCATGCCCGCCTCCAGGACTTCTCCAGGGTGTCACCCATCCTCTGGAACTCCCTGCCCCAACCCATCAGATTATCATCTACTCTCCTCTCCTTTAGGCGCACCCTGAAAACCCATCTCTTCAGGGAAGCCTACCCCACCCCCTGCTAACTTGCCGACCTCCTCCACTCTTCCTACCACTCCATCCCCACAGCTATCTCCTCCTGTACCACCATCCCCTCCCTCCTAGATTGTAAGCTCGAAAGAGCAGGGCCCTCGAACCCCTCATGTTTTGCATTGTATTGGTATTGTTCTGTCACATGTTCTGTCCCCCTTTGTAATGTACAGCGCTGAGCGAACTGTCGGCGCTTTATAAATACTGTATAATAATAATAATAATTGTCCAGATAAAGTGGTGCCCATCGGTGTTGAGATTGGCTTGATGTACCCAGCTCATGTCCAGGACGATGGAGTGACACTGATAAATGGAGGCGACCAGCCGAAAACTGATGTAACAGTGTTTCCAAGGGAATTTCACAAATGGCAATGCACCAGATGTCACCACTTGTCCTGTGCAAGTCAATAGATCAGCAAGTGAAAAGAATTTCGACTAGTTTGACCACCATAAACTTGAGTCTTATGAGCAATCGGAAATGGACCTGGCGGTTAATAAGCTGTCAGTTACCCTGGAAAATACAACCTATGCACAAGTTAATGGCAGGGGCGGACTGACCATTCAAGCACTCAGGCACTGCCCGAGGGCCCGGGGTCAGTAGGGGGCCCCATGAGATGCCCCTGGTACCTTTCATAGGCTTTTTTGGGTGTGGTTTGAGTGTGGGTGAGGATTTAGGGGCCCCATGATCCCCTATTGCCCGGGGGCCCCATGAGTTGTCAGTCAGCCACTGGTTAATGGTCACATAACTCGAAAGGGCAGGGCCCTCTAACCCTCGTGTATTGTGTATTGTCATTTCCTTGTCCCCCATTCTAATGTACAGCGCTGAGCCAACCCTTTGGTGCTATATAAATACTCTATAATAATAATAATATATAAACTTTTTGATTTTGGGGTTTGTTACTGCTTTTTTTTGGGGGGGGGGGGGGGGGGCTGATACAAATGAAGATATCTGCAAAAATGGTAACTTTTTATGTTTGTATGTCCTCCTTTTGCCAGAAAAATTCACGCAACAGGAAACTTTCATATTCTAAATACAATCAGGCCCAATAAATCAAGTATCCGAGCATTACTACGGTCATTCAATCTACTCGGAATAGGTTTGGTAACAATCCCGCAGGGCCTCGATTCCATTGGTAGAATGTCCGACCATCAGTAATGTAGACTGAACGGAGTTTGTTACATTTTAATTCCAGCATTTTGTGCCCTGAAAATATTGAATGTTATGTGACAGTCAATCCCTTCGTGTGCGATTGCATTCTATTGATTGTCTATTGCAAAGCGACCAGCGGGTCACGCTGAATGAATGTGATGGAGGTCGAATTGCTTCAATAAAGCTGCTACTGGATACTACTTCATATTAGCTTGATGGAACGTGGAAAAAAAATGAACTTTTCAACATGGGAGATAAATTGTGCGGTTCTGTTTAATGTCCTCAGCCTTTTGCATAACTCTATTATACAACGTTTTACCGCCAAGCCGTTCAACTGAAGTCAATAGAACATTTACTCACGCGTCCTTGGGTTGAAACGTGTAGTGGTGGAAACCTGCTAACCTCCTTGGTAAGGAGAAATGTTGGATGTTATTAATAATAATAAATGATAATATTAAAAACAATAGAATAGAACAAAATAGAACAATACATATAGTTACATAGTTAGTCTGGCTGAACAAAGACAAAAGTCCATCCAGTTCAACCATTAATAAAAAAAAAAAAGTTATAATCCTACACCCACAGTTGATCCAGAGGAAGGCAAAAAAAAAACCCAGCAAAGAATGATCACTATTTGCTCCTGCAGGGGAAACAATTCCTTTCTGATTCCTTGAGAGGCAATCGGATATTCCCTGGATCAACTCTACCTATAAATGTTATATCCAGTTATATTCTGTGTATCCAAGAAAGAATCCAGGACTTTCCTACAGCAATCCACTGAGCTGGCCACAACCAACTCTTGAGGGAGTCTATTCCACATTCTCACAGCAATTACTGTGAAGAAACCTTTCCGTGTTTGGAGCTTATATTTATTTTTCTCCAGATGTAAAGAGTGCCCCCTTGTCCTCTGTGATGACCTCAGGGGAAATAACTACACCAAGTTCACTATATGAACCACTGATGTATTTATACATGGAGATCATATCCCCCATTATGTATTATACATGGAGATCATATCCCCCCTTATGTATTATACATGGAGATCATATCCCCCCTTATGTATTATACATGGAGATCATATCCCCCCCCCTTATGTATTATACATGGAGATCAGATCCCCCCCTTATGTATTATACATGGAGATCATATCCCCAATTATGTATTATACATGGAGATCATATCCCCCCTTATGTATTATACATGGAGATCATATCCCCCCTTATGTATTATACATGGAGATCATATCCCCAATTATGTATTATACATGGAGATCATATCCCCCCTTATGTATTATACATGGAGATCATATCCCCCTTATGTATTATACATGGAGATCATATCCCCCCGTATATGTATTATACATGGAGATCATATCCCCCCTTATGTATTATACACACGGAGATCATATCCCCCCTTAGGATATTATACATGGAGATCATATCCCCCCTTATGTATTATACATGGAGATCATATCCCCCCTTATGTATTATACATGGAGATCATATCCCCTTTATGTATTATACATGGAGATCATATCCCCCTTATGTATTATACATGGAGATCATATCCCCCCCTTATGTATTATACATGGAGATCATATCCCCCCTTATGTATTATGGGGGGAGATCATATCCCTCTTATGTATTATACATGGAGATCATATCCCCCATTATGTATTATACATGGAGATCATATCCCCCTTATGTATTATACATGGAGATCATATCCCCTTATGTATTATACATGGAGATCATATCCCCCCTTATGTATTATACATGGAGATCAGATCCCCCCCTTTTATGTATTATACATGGAATCATATCCCTCTTATGTATTATACATGGTGATCATATCCCCCCCTTATGTATTATACATGGAGATCAATATCCCCCATTATGTATTATACATGGAGATCATATCTCCCCTTATGTATTATACATGGAGATCATATCCCCCCTTATGTATTATACTGGAGATCATATCCCCCCCTTCTGTATTATTACATGGAGATCATATATCCCCTTATGTTGTATTATTACATTGGAGATCATATTCCCCCTTATGTATTGTACATGGAGATCATATCCCCCTTATGTATTATACATGGAGATCATAATCCCCCCTTATGTATTATACATGGAGATCATATCCCCCTTATGTATTATACATGGTGATCATATCCCCCCCTTATTGTATTATACATGGAGATCATATCCCCCCCTTATGTATTATACATGGAGTCATATCCCCCCCTTATGTATTATACATGGAGATCATATCCCCCTTATGTATTATACATGGTGATCATATCCCCCTTAATGTATTATACATGGAGATCATATCCCCCCGTATGTATTATACATGGTGATCATATCCCCCCCTTATGTATTATACATGGAGTTCATATCCCCCCTTTATGTATTATACATGGAGATCATATCCCCCCGTATGTATTATACATGGTGATCATATCCCCCCCTTATGTATTATACATGGAGATCATTCCCCCCCTTTATGTATTATACATGGAGATCATATCCCCCCTTATGTATTATACATGGAGATCATATCCCCCCTTATGTATTATACATGGAGATCATATCCCCCTTATGTATTATACATGGAGATCATATCCCCCCTTATGTATTATACATGGAGATCATATCCCCCCCCTTATGTATTATACATGGAGATCATATCCCCCTTATGTATTATACATGGAGATCATATCCCCCCTTATTGTATTATACATGGAGATCATATCCCCTCTTATGTATTATACATGGAGATCATATCCCCCCTTATGTATATACATGGAGATCATATCCCCCCTTATGTATTATACATGGGATCATATCCCCCCCTTATGTATTATACATGGAGATCATATCCCCACCCTTATGTATTATACATGGAGATCATATCCCTTCTTATGTATTATACATGGAGATCATATCCCCCCCTTATGTATTATACATGGAGATTCATATCCCCCCCTTATGTATTATACACGGAGATCATATCCCCTTATGTATTATACATGGAGATCATATCCCCCTTATGTATTATACATGGTGATCATATCCCCCTTAATCTCCTCTTCTCAAGAGAGAATACATTCAGTTCCTCTAATCTTTCCTCATAGCTGAGTTCCTCCATGCCTCTTATCAGTTTGGTTGCCTTCTCTGTACTTTCTCCAGTTCCCCAATGTTCTTTTTGTGAATTGGAGCCCAAAACTGAACTGCATATTCCAGGTGAGGTATTACTAATGATTTGTACCGGGGGGGGGGGGGGGGGTGGTGACATCTGTCTCTCTGGAGTTTATATCTCTCCTAATACAAGAGAGGATTTTGCTCACTTTAGAACCCGCAGCTTGGTATTGCTGCCATTATTAAGCTTGTGATCTACTAGAACCCCCAGATCCTTCTCCACCATTGATTCCCCCCAGTTGTACCCCCCTAGTATGTATGATGTATGCGTATTCTTAGCCCCAAGTGCAGAACCTTACATTTATCAACATTAAACCTCATTTGCCACATAGTTGCCCAATTACACAGAGCATTGAGGTCGGCTTGTAAATTGGAGACATCCTGTAAGGACGTTATTTCCCCGGCACAGCTTGGTGTCATCTGCAAAGACTGAAATGGGGTTTATAATGTCAGACCCTATATTGTTTATAAATATATTAAAAAGTAAGGGTCCCAACACTGAACCTTGGGGTACACCACTAATATCACTGAACCTTGGGGTACCCCACTAATATCACTGAACCTTGGGGTACCCCACTAACACTGATCCTTGGGGTACCCCACTAATAACACTGATCCTTGGGGTACACCACTAATAACACTGAACCTTGGGGTACCCCACTAACACTGAACCTTGGGGTACCCCACTAACACTGATCCTTGGGGTACCCCACTAATAACACTGAACCTTAGGGTACACCACTAATAACACTGAACCTTGGGGTACCCCACTAATAACACTGAGCCTTGGGGTACATCACTAATATCACTGAACCTTGGGGTACCCCACTGACAACCCTAGACCATTCAGAGTATGAATCATTACCACTGCTCTCTGAATACAATCTTTTAGCCAGTTTTCTATCCATTTACATACAGATTTTTCCAGCCCATAGACTTTACCTTACACATTAGTCGTGCGTGGGGAACTGTGTCAAATGCTTTTGCAAAATTCAAGTATACCAAGTCCACCACCACCCCTCTATCCAAGTATACCACGTCCCCCGCCACCCCTCTGTCCAAGTATACCACGTCCACCACCACCACCCTCTATCCAAGTATACCACATCCACAGCCACCCCTCTGTCCAAGTATACCACATCCACCAACACCCCTCTCTTCCAAATATACCACATCCACAGCCACCCCTCTGTCCAAGTATACCACATCCACAGCCACCCCTCTGTCCAAGTATACCACGTCCACCAACACCCCTCTTTCCAAATATACCACATCCACCGCCACCCCCCTCTGTCCAAGTATACCATATCCACCGCCACCCCTCTGTCCAAGTATACCACGTCCACCGCCCACCCCTCTGTCCAAGTATACCACATCCACCGCCACCCCTCTGTCCAAGTATACCACGTCCACTGCCACCCCTCTGTCCAAGTATACCACGTCCACCACCACCCCTCTGTCCAAGTATACCACAT